CACTGATTGGTGGAGAGGCCCCGCTGCTTGCCACTCGCTCCTGATGGGCACAGAGGCAAAAACCAGTTTTAAATATGGTGCCATTTTTGCTAGTCACCACTGATTAGCCAAGGGGCCCTGGTAGCCCCACCGTTTGTTGCTGACCAGCCAGGAGGCAAAAACAGCGCCATATTTAAAACCATGGTTTTCGCCTCCCCGCTGATCAGGAGTGGGGTACATGGTGGCTCCTTTGATTTTGCAGATTCCCCCACGTGCCCCTCTCCCCACCCTCCGCACCATGTGCTGCTCACTCCTAATCAGTGGGGTGGTGAAAACTGTGGTTTTAAATATGGTGCTGTTTTCACCTTCCAGCATGGGTGACTGGTGCCTCCCAAGTCTGGGGGACGACCAATGGGGCACAACCAAGGTGGACTCCCCCAACAGCCAGTCAGTGACCGGGGGAGGGGAGTCCCCCACCAGCTGGCTGGCAACCTGGGCGGGAGGGGGGTCCCCAGCACCCAGTTGCCAAGCGTGCCAGCAGCACAGCAATGGCTGAAGTGCCAGCACTTACGTATTCTGCCACCGGCAGAGCCAACTAAGGGGGGCAGTAGCGCTCTCTGTGCCCCCCTATCAGCTGGAGTGCTCACTGTCAACGGGGGCACCAGCGCTCGGGGGGGGGCACATGCCCCCCCGTGCCCCACCTACGTATCACCTATGCCTCCTGGCTGGTCAGCAACAAACAACAGGGCTGCTAGGGCCCCTTGGCCAATCAGTAGCGAGAGACAAAAATGGCGCCATATTTAAAACCATGGTTTTTGCCTCCCTGCCCACCAGGAGTGAGTGGTGTGCCTTGGGGCCTCTCCACCTATCAACCACGTGGAGGGCGCACAAAGGAACCTTTGAGATTAAAGGAGCCGCTGCACAGCACACTCCTGCCGTGAACTGGGTAGGTTCCTACTATCAGTCCTTCTCTTGTGGGACAGTGAAGCAATCTGAGACACTGAGCGCACTCCAAGACAGACCTTGACCACAGATGAACTCCCCACTTAGTACGCGGGTGACAGAATTCTCCCCTCCCTTCCTTTCCATTACCTCCCCCAGACATGTAGGTGAATTGGCATGGGGCCCACTTCTCTCCCTTTAAAGTGATGCATTCATTGGAGGCAGGAAGTAGCGGAGTGTCCAGGGGGTCCCAAACCAGGATCTGGTGATTAATGTTCTGTCACTTATGCCTGGACTAGATCACATCTTTCAGAGCTGTGCTTTCAGCTGTCTGCATCAACTAGATTTGGTTCCCTTTTTCCCCAATTTGTTGGGATGACAAAAGCTAGAAATATTATGGTTTGCTTTTGTTTCTAATGAAAGCGGAGATTCTGTCGTGATCATACGATTCCCAAGGCTCAACACATACCTATGTTCCAGTGCTTTAATCTAAGCCTTCATGGGATTCAAATGTTTTGAAAAAGAAAAGCAGCTGCATTAACTTAGATATAAAAATATTTTTCCCTGTTCCCAGTCTCTAGGAGAACAAGAATTTTGCCTACTTTTATTGGAGTCTGGCAAACATTTACTAGCATATGCCAACGGATATCATAAGCCCAAACTGTACCCATGGTCAAGGCCATGGTATCTAACAAATATGAAAAGGAGCAAAATGTTGTTACTGAATCTTTCAGAAGCTTGATAAGTTGAAAATGAATTGCTTGCTTCCTCCTCTGACACAGAAAAACCTTCTTGGCTAGTCTATCAAACAGCTCCAATTTGTATTAAATGTTTTTTCCAGAGTAACTCCCTTTCCCCGTTTATTATTTATTTATGCTTGAAAAGGTCTCTCACTGCTCCCTCTGTTGCACCATTTGTTTTCTTAATATAGCCGGCACTCATTAAATACTTGCTGAGCAACGGATGACTTTTCTTCGTTTTTCACGTCGCCTCAGATTCTCATATATTTTGAAGAAGGTAAATCTCTTCCTGTCTCTCCCTCTCTCTACACTGCTTGATTTGTTACCTAGAAACTCTCAGATATCCACTCCAAGGTTGCTATAGGCATTGATGTTTCAGGTGTTTCCAAATCCTTTACTCCAGTGGTTCTATTTTAGATGCCACCCAGTATTATTCTCCAGGATCACAGACTGACCCCAAGAGGTAGAAAAGTTCATTTTATAGTCCCAATCAACAGGGGAGTAGCACTTGACAGCAACAGATGCTAGAGACCTCGGAAGCTGGTCACCAAAGCAATAAGAACTAAGAAGTTCGTTGAAGCCTATTTTTTATCTCCAGAAGTCTAAGAGGTCACCAACATAATAATACCAAGGACTTCATTAAAATAAACCCATGGTGGGAAATAAGAATTTTAAAAAGAAGCAAACAGTTCCCTATTGTTCCATCAATTGATAGTAACAGGGACGGGAGATAAGAAAAATACTTTTTCTGACTCGGGGCCATAGTCAGGAAAGGCATTGGAAAAACTGCTTCTCGGAATTTCTCTTTGTTTCCCAGTATTGCATACACATCGAATTAGATTTGCTCTCCCAACATTTCTTATTTCCTAATTGCCAGCACTGAAAGATCTATTTGGTACCTGAAAACTGTGGCTGTCTTGCCTGAGACACCCTTGCCAACCATAAAAATCTCAGAACTCAGCTATTACTTCTATCAGCATCATAAAAGACTTTTCTCTTTCATATTTCCTGTCTGCCACTCTACCATCAGTGCAGCACCAGGAATTCAAGAAACAGGCATTCTGTGAGTGTACGTGACACCGCGTCCATCCCCTGGCACAGAGTCCTGATTAGTACGCTGGAAATGCTGGATAGGGTGTGCCAGCCCTGGTCCCACCTTTTTCTACACGTATATGTAAAGTGAGAGATATAGTCGACATAGGAAAGCTACTTGCGCCCTTCAAAGTATGAAGGATGGGTCAACCACCTACCCCATAGATTGCAAGAGCTTGGAGGGAGGGCAAAGACTGCTTCTACGATTTGTACAGAAACTAATGCAAAGGGTAATTTGACGGGGGCCTCTGGACACTACTGCAATGCAAACAAACAAGCAGACAAAAGCAATTAGTGTACCGATTTGTGTTGGAAGACACACAGAGCAGGCATTGTAGTAACAAGATGCTACTGCTACATAATTGCTTTTCTGACCATACCCAGACTCAGTTTAAATCACAGAAATCAGGGATGGAAAGACTTATTAGGTCTTCTAGTCCATTCCCCTGCCAGTGCAGATGACTGTAAGGAGGTAACTGCTCTTCTGCATCAGATAAAAAAAAAATCTATTGCTCCAGGCAGCATGTGGGGTCTGGCTTCCATCCAGCATCACAGTTTAAACAAAAATATTGCTAGAAGTTCATTTTGGTCAAAACCCCACAAGTCTCATGACAGATGCAGACCTTAGGCTTTCCTGTAATAGTTGCAATAATCTTGCCAGACACACACGCACGCACGTATGCATGCACGTATGCACGCACACACACGCACCTCTCAGCAAAAGCTAAGGATGAAAATATCTGAAAGCAAATCTAAGGCTAAAAACTGAGACCACGAGTATGTTACTACTAAGACTGTCCAAAGTGCTGTGCTAAAGAAAATAAAACAACAACAAAGCTTCCAACCTCTAAAAACACAGAGCCAAAGGGAGAGGAGTCAGCACTACTCATGCATTGTAAAAAAACAAAACTGACACAAGATTTGCATAGAAAAACTGATTTCACAGCTTTTCATTCTCCAGATGGCACTAGATACTCTTAGCCCTCCATAAATTTAGAATTGGTTATATTTCCCCCATGCAGGTTTCAAGGTGTATGCTAAACACCCTGGTCAGTTAGGGACCTTCTCAACTGACCTTCTATGCCATTTGCTTTGCTAAAAAAACATAGAGGAGTAAAATCAGAATACTTATCTGAGCTAACACAGTGAGAGTGGGTTAGTATTAAAAAAGTGGTAATGTTTCCACCACTTGTCATGATATTTTATACAAAAGAAAGTTTTAATATATGAAGATGTGATAGGATAAAAATATAATTACACGGGATTTTTGGCAGTGAAGTAACTGATGTTGGAACTCAGTTTTGACAGCTCTCTGAATCTAAAAGGCCTGTAAGTACTAAAATGTCATCTGTCTATCCATATGAGATTTAGCTTTGGCAGTATTTCAAGAGCAAAAAAATCATATATATAATTTTCCCTCTACATTTTTTTCAAAGCAATGTAAGAGGCCATATTCTCTTGAGAAATAGAGTAGGAGGCTTATGTTACAGAAACATTTGCAGAAAAAGAAAATACTGCTAGGTTTGAATAGGCACAACAATCAAACACAATTGGCCTAATTGTAGGTTAAAGCACAAGGGGTGGAATGTATTGAGAGTTCATATTTACAGATGCCAAATCATTTCTTTAAAATTTTGTGACTCGTTCTGCTCAAGCTAAACGAATCAAATGGCCTGGAAGTGTACCCGAGTTTCTCAATGCAAGTTGGCCTATTAAAGGAACTGATTACCAGCCTTAACTTTCAACTTTTATTGCTAACTACTTCACAGACCACTTTGGAAAATGGAGCGCCTGGCCCATAGGTCCATTTTTTTAAATGCTTAAGCTGAGAGAGAGAGAGAGAGAGAGAGAGAGAGAGCACACATGAGAGCAGGCTCGGTAAGTGCTCGTTTCTGACCTCAGGCTGTCTTCCAAAACGGCAAAAGTTGTCTAAGCCATTTCTGATATATCTTAGCTTTGGCCTTTTTCAACAGCCACGGGAGTATCAGTGCCCCACGAGAGCTGGAAATATACAATCAATCAGACACCCCTAATTAATTTTCTGATAATGAAAAAATAAATATACTCTAACTGATGTAAAAACACGTACATTAAAAAGACCATTCGAGTCTTGTGAAAAAGCTGCGTTAATCTACTGTAGTTTCTGAGTCAATCCAACTGTGAGGAATTCCATCAATTGTGCTCAGCTGATAAAGACATTAAAATAACAAGAAGTTATGATATATAATCCTCTCTCTAAGTACTTACACATTCTTGGATTTGAATGCTTCAGCAAAGTGCTGCACACTGTGAAGAGAAGCGAGGTCTAAGGTCATTGCTTCTACCTTGGCTTTATGCTGGAACAAGAGAAAATAAAATAAAATAAAAAAAAAAAAAGATAAATAACAGCAAGTTTAGTTCACAGTATCGTGTTACAGTAAATGTGTTATGGAACATGTCTGATTCCCTTGGTTAACATTAGAAGCCCACAGCAAATATAAATCATCAAACTGAATGGACAAGCGCGACACTCAATGCCAAGTGCTGTATTCTAACTTTGTGGTTCTGCTAACACATATTGTATGCACGGTATACCGTTACATAACACAATGAATTCACACCCAACAGTTTTAAGGTTAATGTGATCTCCTCTTCCTTCCATTTGGCTAGTGGAATTTGTGAGGATGCAAATCATGAAATAAAAAACTAAAAAGCAAAGCAAGCAGTATTGTGTAAAATGATATGCATATTTAATGTACTATAACAACAGGGAAAATACACAATGGATAAATACTTTAAAACATTCAGATTTTAATTCAACCTTGCACATATTTGTCCTGAGACAGACTGTAGCAGCTGACAGAGAAGCAGGAAAAAAAAAATCAACATTTGTTCAGCAAAGAGTATTTTACACAAGTTTAACAGGGCTGCGAATGCATCTTCAGAGAAAACTGCTCATGCTCCTAAAGCCAACTTTCCAGAGAATGGAGCTAAAGACAACACTCCAAAAGGTGCAAGCTCACCAACATTTGCTAGTGCTATCCGTCAAAATGACCCTCAATATCATGCTCAGTTCAAAGTCCTTTGTCCGTACCTCAACCGAACTATTTTGACTTCAAGACTCTGTGAAAAACAAGGCAAAAATGTTCCCTTGTGGCCAAGAGCCCTTGCAATCTCTTTTTACTGGAGAACATGAAGGATGATGGGCATGCCGGTGCTTAAATTCAAGCAGGCTGTGGCTCCTTTGAGCTACTGATGAAAAGTTTCTTTCCGACTTCCCAAAACTATTTTCTATCCAGAGTGATTCCCAACCTGCCTCCTATAAATACACAGAACTGCAATGGGCATGCTGATCATTAGCAGAAGTACAAGAAAGAAGATCGAACTTGGGGATACAGTGCAGTCATATGGGAACGTAATGTTGGATTGGAAAGACACTGGTAGCCCATGGGGGCGTACGAGTGATGGGCCTTACGAACATCAAAACGTGGTAAAGCGGGTGCGTTTTTTAGCAGTAAAGAGTAGATAGGAGAAAGCAGTGGTTCTCAATATTTTTAGACTCGAGGCACCCCCCATTACACTCAAGTCACCCTTCCATACTTTTTGTGAACTGAGCAGCACTCCATTTCAAAAACTAACGTATCTAGTACAGTGCCCACCACCTTGCAGAGAGGCAGTATTGGAGGGTGGGGAAACAGCCAAGCAGGGAAGAGCCTGTGTTTATCTGCTTATCTCCTTGCACCTGGCTTATCTGCCCACACCTTGTTGCACCCTTTAAAGGATCTTGTGGCTTCCCATGGTGCCCCGGCACCCTGGTAGAGAATCACAGGCCCAGAGGGACCTTTTTTCACAAGCAGCAGCAAACACAACTGCTTCCAACGTCTCCAGCTTCAAAACCCCGCGCTGACTTCCCTGGTTCACTTCCTTCTACCTTGCAAGCACCCATCCTGCCTATTACAAATAGGACTGCATGTGATCTCTCTCAAGTTCTTATGTCTCCAGTCTTATGGGGACAGCAAAAATATTAAAAAAATAAAACTAATATTTCCAATGGTCCACTTCCCAGCAGGCAATATGAGTTTCTTATGTTAGAAAGAGCTAAAAATAACTCTTTCAGAAACAGTCTTAACACTCTGCCCTCAAAAGTTGCACTTACAAAAACCCGAATTAATTCTACCCCACAGGTGATTATTTTTTTGTTCAAGATTCAGAAAGTCAGCGAGTCAGTGATAGCCCACATAACTCAATATTCCTCAGCTGCAACTCTTCTTCCACTTTACACTCCCAAGTTGTTTACATAGTAGACATTTGGGTTCAGTTGTGTTTTTCTTTTCTTTTTTTCCCCTTTTTTTTACTGAAACATTTTGCTATCTTTTCCAAGGGGAAAAGAACAAGAATGCTACAACCACAAGGACAGGAGGTCAAAAAACCTTCAAGTAGTTCAACAGACTAAACCACAAGCTGTCGGTTACTATGCTCCTGGGGATGGTGATTCAAGTCCACACACTGGTACTCAGGTAATGCTCTTGCTCTGGGCATCAGGTTTCCAGTTTCTGCTATTTATTCCAAGCATGGAGAGGAAGTGCCTGCAATATTGCAAGGCCAAAGGAAAAGCATGAGGTACCTCCAGTTTACCTTTACAAGCAGAAATTCACTGGAGTAATTAGACTAGATATACTGTAGGTGTACAATGGACAGTTTAAAAAGCACGAATAAAATATTAAAAATGACAAATGGCCAATTGTTATACTTAGATAGCAAATGCAAGCTACAAATACGGGTTTCTACTCTGCCAGTTCAACCAATGAACTGAGACCAGCATCTAATCACAATCCATTTTCCTCAGTCAGTACAATCAAGGACCCTGTATTTCAAACAGTTTAACTTACTTGCTCTTTTGCTGCTTTTTTAGGTTTGATAGACACAAGGTTAGAGAGAAAGATAAAAGTCAATGGAAACATTTCTGGAGTAATTCAAGGAGATATTTCCAAAATATCCCAAGTGGAAAAAATACATCTGAGTGCACGTGAGAGCTAAAACAACACAAAGCAAAAGATATTTTCTTCTATTTTTGCAAGATCAGAGCTGCTACACCACAACTGGCAGAAAGGATCATTTGAGACTGTGTATCAAATTAAGTACACATTTGGGGAGAGAAAACAGGCAGCACAACAGTTCAAACAAAACGAGCATCCCATGCCCATAGTTTTTTTTAATAGATTGGAATGCAGAAGAAAATCCTGAATAGAAAGAAAGATGGACAGTGGGAGAAGCCCCAGGAATGCAGCATTAGATATCCCAGTCAATCATATACTCAATACTTTTCACACTACATCTCAGCTCTAATCAATGTCCCGTATATTTTCATTTTAGCTTATTTTGACTAACGTTGCTCTGACACCTTCTTGTGCCTATGCACACCTCTTCCACCTTCTCCTCCCCACTGCTGCCCGATGAAAACTGGTTACTCGGTACGACGGTGACATCCTTCTGCAGTGAGATTATGATACCAATGACAACCTGGCCTATCAACCACCTTCCTCCATTTTTTCTTCTGATTTCATTTAAACACCACTATGGCAGGGCTTAAAAGATCCTAGCGGGGGTGTCAAAAGGAGTTTGATATATATATTTTTTTTTTCAGGGGGGAGAACAAAAATAACTGTGTTGCTCTATACCATCTACAGGAAATAACAGAACCAAGACCCACAGAACTGTAGCGTTTCCTGCACGTATGCCTAAATAAAAAGGCTAACCAACTGACTGTCACGGGAATTGGAAACACGGGAGCTCTCTCCAAGTGGTGAGCAATTAAGATACAAATGTGTTCACTACCCTTTTTGCAACCTTGGGCAACTTACTTGACTTCTCTGTCTCGATCACGTAGAACTGGGATAACAATACCCATCTCACAGAGGTTTGGGGAGGGTTATAAGAGGCATGAAGCACTAGAGAAATAGTTTTTTAAAACTTTCGACTCATCTTTTCTAAGTTATATAAATAAATAAAAAAAACAGGGCTACACACTTACCCGGCTAGCAATGTAAGACTATCAGCCGCACTGGTAAGTGCAGCCTTCTTCTACAGTAGCTCAGCATTATTTGTGTCATGCATAATGTTTTTCCTTTTTCTGCATGCATATGTAGCACGCATAATTACATTTATAAATGTACTAAAAGAGAAAACATATTTTTGCTAAAAGGCATCATAACTATAACTATAACCCACAGTCAGAACTGATTGTTAATGGCATGCTGCAAATTCTGATCTAATGTGTCATAATTTTATTATGCTGATGTCTCTCAGCATTCCACTTTACATATTTTCAGCACTGAATTATGCCTCATTTTATGTGGTGAAATCTTAAATGGGACTTGTCACTTTCCCAACTGCAAGAGACACTGGAGCTTAACACTGACATCATAACATTAATTCACTAAAGCAGAAAAGAAAGCTGCAGAAAAATGTTTTTATTTAATGAATCAATAAATGACATTACTGCTCCCTCTACTACTTAATTCTCAATTAAATAATATTAAAGGGAGACTGGATAACATAGGGGATTTGGAGCAGTTTAGGGAGTATTTCACCGGTAAATCACAGATCGCTACCTAACGTTTGACAGCCTGCACCGAATGAGCTGGTGCCTGAATACAGTTCTCAGCATACAGGTCTTTACTGATATCACCCAAACGGCCCCCGCTCTTTTTTTTTTAACCAGTCTAATTCTTTATGTCAATTGCAATAAAGAGGACGAGGACTGAACGGGCAAAATGTCTTGAGAGCTGTCCTCAGAAAAGACAAGGGGGTTGAATAGTATGAAACTTAAAAAGCTTAAACTGTTTCTCTGCAGAGTCTGACTAAAAATATGTCAATTAGTGTCCACGGAGGTGGCAGTCGGAGGGGAGAAATCTTGACCTTGAGGCTAACTTGTATAATACGGAGACTGCTAACGTGAACGTGTATTTCAGTTCGGCCACCAAACACGGTGACGCTAACTTTTCGCCCGCTGCTGTGCGGGGCCATATTGGAATCAATCACCACGGGGCTGCTCCCCTAAAATACACAACAGAGTGGTATTTTTCAAATGTGCACAGAAACTCCTTTCAGTAGTAAAAGGGAAAGACATTTGCTTTATTCTTAATGATTTTATGTATAGTTCTAAAATAATGTTATCAATATTTACAGATAATTGTTCAGCTGTTCTGAGGATAAATTGCCCTGGATGGGAGTGTACTTAGTTTTGCATGTAAGCTACGCCCAATATGCAGAAAAAAACTATTAAAAATGCTTAAATATAATTGGCAATATTTTTCACTCTTGCTAGAAAAACGCCTATTGAGCCAGAAACTAACAAAAGAGTGAAAACACCCACGAAGCAAGCAATCTCACTATATGCAATGTATTTGCTTTACAGCTTAAAAACTGTTTAAAAATGAACACTGCATGGTACAGTAGCTTGGCAGTAAACATGATTGTGCATTTATGTCTTGGTATTGAAGAAGGAGCCCTTTTTCATAGTGAATTTTTCATTCTAATGTAAGTGATGATTTACGTTAAATATAGGTAAAGCATGGTTACATTTTCCTGAAGGATTGCAAGGAAGTGAAGAGCAGTACAATAAGTTGAAGCATAAAAGCTTTCTCTGTCATAATATTTATTATAATGGCATATAAAATAGCTGAAATAAATAATAGATGACTAAAGGTAAATTCATATGATAAAGAATCCTTCAGCAGACACCATTACTTCTGACTGCTCTGGTTTTATACAGAGTTGAAGACTCTTAATAAATATGCTGTAGCCCCTATATCTTATATAAGTACTGGAAAAAATTGAAGATGTACTTAAAAGGCAACATAGTGGACATCGGCTAATTTACTGTATAATTATATCCTCAAAGGACATGGGTGTATATATTTTACACGTTTAAAAGCCATGTTCTCCAGGAAACTTAGGAAGCAAATCACTAATAAAAATATCTGACTTTGGCTGACAAAATAAATATCAAATAAATAAATATCAAATAAATATCTGGCTGACAAAATAAAAAGTACTTTAGAGGGCAAAACCTTGGAATACAAGTAGCTCTGAATGACTAGCATACACATCTTCGCAAAATTAAACAGCGCCTATTAACTGAGAAACAGGCAGCCTTCAAGAATAAAAGAATCCTAGGAGGAACCAGAAGAAAGGTATGTGAATTACCCTTAAAGTATGTAAATCATTAAAACTCAAAGTATAGCTGACAACATCCTACATTATAAGGAAGCAGAGACAAAATAAATCCAAATTTCAATTGTGAGGACAAAGCAAAGATAAGCTTAGAAGCATGTCTGACAATTTGACACATGGCTTATGATAGTCAACAATGACCAACAACAGGTATTACTGATGGAGAAATATAACAAGGAAAATGCTTTCATTCTGGTTCAAGACTGTAAATATGATTGTCCCTAATGTATGCAACATATGGCTTGGGGCAAAACTATATTTATGGAATGCTAGCTTTATACTCTCATGCATATATTTTGAATGCTATGAAGTTAGCACTCAAGGTAGCTGAACGGGACAAATGAATCAAACTGCTTCAAGAATAACCTAAGACATATATAGGGTGTTTTAAGAATAAGTTTCTCCACTACATTTGAGATAGCTTATTGATGTCCATTAGAAGCCATTGTGAATGGAACAATTTTATAGTTATATTTCCTTTCTGTTTCCTTCTGCCTCAGCAATTTCTGCAAAGCACATTTTCTATTTTGAGTCTTAAGTTATATATGCACAAACACTTTACATGTGATGCAAAAACAATTTCCTCACCATTTTCCGCATTTATTTAACTAACCACTTAACTGAGCTCTGCAAGGGAATAATAATTAGGGTTACTACTTTTTGCAGTTATGCTATAGCAAGGCCTGAACGTGTTTAGTTGTTTGAATGTTCTGTTTAAGAGAAATTGGTCTCCTCTTTCTTTTATTTTTTTAACATTAGAACTTTGGCCGCTTGCGTTTCTTTTTTCAGGATGAGATTTCAGTGCAAACAACTTGCTCAAAAGTGGCAATGATTTCAATTCCGACTGTTCAATTTGATTTTGTGTTGAAAATGCGTGCGTTACATTCTTAATTAAATGGTTAAGAAAAAGGCCACCTTTGCTAAAAATTGAAAATTGCTACTGAAGTCAATCAACAACTTTGAAAGTTCATACACAAATTTAAAACCTTGCACAAGTCCAGCAAAATGTTCCAAATATTTCTAGGTAGTAAACAAGCAGGGGGAAAAAATACAAAAAAAGTTCACTTTTTCTTTATAGATCATCAAAAAATAACAAAACCCCCTCCCCCCCCAAAAACCCTATACCCTTTCCCCTACTTTTGCAGGTCACTAACAGCCATACACTAATACTGTTATGAATCTTTTTATATTGCAGTGCAAGGAGATACTTTCTATTCTGAATCCAAATCATGAGCTTTGCAACACAGGAAATAAAGATCCTGATCCTCTAAGCTTGTCAATGTTAAAATCCTGAGACTGGTAATATTTTATTGTTACTTTTAATTTACATATTTATTTTGATCAGGAAAGCCTGCATTTCCTGGATCAATTTTCAATAATCCTGTCAAATATGATTTCATGCTTAAAGAGAGCTTTCAAAAAACCTGATTTCACAAGTCTCAGCACAATGCTGGGGACTTGACTGTCCAAGATGATTAAAACCAAATTTTCATCCCAAAGGCGGATCATCTGAAATGCAAACCGATCGCCTGGTTATCCACTGTCAACGCAGCTAAAGTTTGTACTGTATGTGGCAGGCAAACATGAGGGACACAATTATCTTAGGACTCTTAGGGCTACTGGAAGTCCTTGGTCCTTGATTGTCTGCATTCTCATAGTCTGACCCCTTCTCAAAAAGACACCTGTGATGAACAACAGATCCCAAAAAATGAAAAACAACTTTGCTTGCCATGTTTTCCATCTGTTTCACCTTTTGGCCCAAAGCTGCAGGTCCTCCAGCTACGCTGGGAACCGTGCTAGAGCC